CACCCATGCACACAGGATGCCTGGCACAAAATTGATTGCTGCATTTCTCAGTGCCGTGTGATACAGTCTTTTAAATGCTGCCTGAAGTTCTCAGTGCTGTCTCTTTCCTCCTAATCCCATGTCAGTGTTCTTAGTGCCTTGCCCAAAAATCCTTGTCATTTTCAGGCTGTATGCTCACCAGGTACTACTGCAGCACGTGGTATGCCAGTCACTGAAATAAGAACTGAGTCTTGTGCTGTGGTGTTGTTATAAATGACTTCACAGTCATATTTTCTCTTCCATTGAGACTGTTGTATCAACACATGGAGGATAAGAAAACTCAGCTCTTGACTTGCCCATGGAATTTAACATGGTTCCCTGTAAGCTTTTACTGAATACTTTTTTGTGATCCTCTGTTATTATGAGAAATTAAAAAATACTCAGTGACTCAAGTATTCATTATGAATGTACGTGAGATTGCATACACTCAACTGCAAATGAAGCTGAATCTATCATAAACTGTTAACTTGAGGAAAAAACCTTGTTTTTTCCCAAATAGTACCTTGGGGTATTTTTGGGGTGGTTTGGTTTGGTTGATTGGTTGGTGGGGTTTTGTTGCTTGCTTTTATGCTTTTTCTTTTTGAGTTTTTTTTGTTGGGTTTTTTTTGGTTGGTTGGGTTGCGTTGGGGTTTTTTTAGTTTAAATGGAGTTGAGACATAGACTGTGTGGCAATAGGCATCTGCCACAGTACGGAGGGTGGTGTACTAGCATCCGTGTGAGGGGAAAAGTTAGCATCACAGCTGTTAGTATTATCCTTCTTGTACTTTTATAGCAGTCTCCTGAGAGCTTAGTAACCACAATTTTAAATTTTCACTCAAAGTTTATACTTCCACCACAGTTTTAAGGAAAACCTCTGTATGGTGAAATATTTGGGGGAAAAACCACATCCAGAATGGTGCATGTCTGATTTTTATTCACTTTAACAAAAAAATACCATGTTAAACACACACATTGTGCATTTGGTTACGAAAGTTCAGAAGTTTCATAATTACTAAGCTCACAACTTTCACAGGAGGCAGTCTCCAGCAGCTTGTTTCCTTCTCTAAATCATAAATTAGGAGACTTTGCAAATGTTTGCATTATCCCTAGGGTTGATCCTGTGAATTTCAAAGTAATGGTCGCAGGATTTCCTCTTGAGTGCCTTTCCCTTTGGACTGCTCCCATATGTGGAGGGGTGGCTTTGCTGAACATTATCATACTTGTTTGTATAGATTGTGTAGAAAATGACATCCCATTGATTTCAAAGGGGCATTTTTGGATGATACTCTTTTAAAAAGTAAAGTGTAAAACTGCATGGGAAAGAAATAGGAGCTATAAATGGCAGACATGAGGAAAAACAATCTGTTAGATGCTTAGAAGTAGTGGGATTACCTGCCCAAATTCTGGGTCTGCTGCAGTTCACCAGAAAAATAGCACTATTTTGGTTTAAAGTGCAGGGATGGGACCTGTCAATACAAAAAGTGTAGTCAGAGATTTATGCATCCAGGCCAGCTAATGTAAGGTTACATGAGGCTGCTTGAAGTAGTTGTCTAAATGTGGATTTTTAGGTGTTCACATCTGAAATTGTAGTCAGGGGTTTGAAAGGGGATGCCCAGCTGCCCTCAGACTGGGAGTGCATGCAGTCGGCAGCTGCCCATCATCAGCACTCCATGACCTGTCAGTCATGCATCTCTAACACCTGCGAGTATCTCCATTCACAGATACTGGGTTAATGTTTTAACATCTTCTTGACAGGTCCCCTGTCTTCTCAAGTTATGGGGCCTTTCTTCTCCCTCCCTTTCTGCTAATGGTTCCACTTGTCAGTTAGCAGTAACAGCCATTGGTGTTGCACTGCTTGCTCGGTGGTGCAATTTCCTTTCTGCTCTCTTCGAGGAAGTGAAACCACTGCCATGTATTTTTGCATTTTGAGGTGGCAAAGCAAAATGAAGCACTGCAGGCAGGAGAGAAAGGCAGCTGAGAAGTGCTGCTTTTACGAAGAAGAGGGGAAAACCCATATTCACTCTGTGATATCTTCTGACAGCATTTCAAAGCACATAATAAAATGTGTGCTGGATTTACTGGAATAAAAAAGCCTCAGGCCAGTCTTCTCCTTGGGCATTTTGCTTCTCTTTCTGCTGTCAGCATTAACAACTGCAATTACATTAGGTGAACAAGTAAGTAATAGTTTTATTGTTACTAAAGGAATTGTGTGTGTTCGGTCTGAAGAAGCTCTATAATTTTACTGCTTAAACTCAGCTTTATTTAAGCTGTGAAATACATTTTTAGGCCTTTCTGCCATTGGTAATGAGGAAAAATTCTGATGATAAAATGCAAACAGTTTGCAAGTTCCTTTTTGGATTGGTCAAGATACTGAAGTATGAAATTTGCATATTTAGCAATTAGAACCCGTGTAACAGCACAGGGAAAATTGAGCTGGCTTCTGATGTATTTATTGCAAAACAGATAGAAGGCAGGCTATGCTAGGTAGTTCTAAAACAGTTTTTAGGGAAATACTGTTAAGAGTTTTAACAGCTTTTGTAAGGGAGCAGTTCCTGTTTTGGTTAGCAGTTGTAATTACCTGCTGAGTTCCACCTTATGAAACATAAAAATATATAGTATAAGGTTTTCTTTGTTGAAAAAGAGTAACTTTTTTAGGAAACTGCCATGTTTTCAGTTTCTCAAAATTGATACTTGGCAGGTTATGATGTTAGAACCATACCTGAGTGTTTGCCTGACTTTCTTGAGGCGGGTTATATGGATTTAGAATTACAGAGCTGTTCAAGTTGGAATTACATTTGTGTGATGTAGTTAAAACTTTGTAAGAATACGTGTAGCATCCTGGGAAAGACTTAAAAACATGTATATATTTATATCATGTGGGTTTTTCTTTGCAAATTTTTGGAAGATACATTGAAACAGTAACTGCTATTAGTACAAACATCAGAATATTTATAGTGTGTCAGAAAGAAGACATCATGAGCAATTAATGAATTAGAAGACTTTAAGAAATAAATTTTATGAAGGAACAATTGATATTCCTGTTTTGAGGGGGTGTGTAGGTGGAAGTGATCATTCATCTCTAGATGTTTGTAAAGTATTGGCTGTTGAGTTCTCGTATTTGACCACCTCTTGGATTGGTTTTAATTTGAATAGTAACAGTTGCAGTTTCATATTTAAAACACAGTGAGTCAAATATTTTCAGTTACTGTCTTCCAGTATCTTTGTGGTTGAGGAGTATGTCTGTCTTGTGATCTTGAGTGCTTCGCCTAAGATAGTTAACAATGGGTTCTTTGAGTTTTGAGTGTCCTCAAGTAGTAGATTTTTTGAAATGCGTTCAAACACTTCATGCTTCCAAACAAAATGCTGATATGCGCTGAGTCTTAAGAAACAAACCTATTGCAAGTTTCTTGGATGGCAAAAAAGGAACCTGTTATTAAGTTTCTCAATGGTACTGTTGAATTAAAAATGCAGATTTCTGTCTCATGTGCCAAAGGACAAGTTTCTTCTATTTGCTGAAACCTCAGAGGCATCCTGCATCTGAACACACCCAGCTGCCTATATACCAACAGTTAAGAGAAAACTTTCTCTAAATTCAGGGATGTACTGTCTGACATCTGCAGAGTTTATGTTTTCATTAAAAGCAAAAAAAAAAAAGTTTCCAGTCCCTGTGTTTGCTACACAGACCTTCAGTATGGGTAGTAAATGAAACAGATGAAGCTTTCCTTCATCCTGTCTGAGACTCCAGGAAAGCTGCAGTGCAAAGGCAGCTATCTCCCAGATCATTCACCCTGGAAATACGAATTCACGTGTGCCTTTGGGAAGAAGGTGCTGCAAAGGGAATGTGGTGTAAATAGTAGTTGCTGGCAACAGAACGAACTCCATCATTTCACAAGTCATGTCTCTGAAGGAATGTTTTCTCAGCATCTGAACAAAATTACAAACCAGTCACTGGATGTTTTACTGCAAGCAAGCATGGTTTTGGAGGTGGAAATCTGTTCTAGAATTTAGTTCATTGGTCACAGAAAGGTTTCTTTATCAGGTTATGCCCACAAGTGTTTTGACAATCCCTAGGCATTTGATTTCTGGCTTTTACTGCATTAATTGTAAGACATAGAAGTGTTAATCTGTA